GACCCTCCCGGCAGTCATGGGCTGTTGCATAGGCCCCTCCTGATCCCTTTGACCATGCACAATCCCATCTAGGCCGAAAAATTTCATTCACTCTCTCTCCCATTTCAACAAAAATGGGCGGCTTCCTCAGCGCATCAAGGCAACAGTCAGTGTGCACCTCAGAGGCTCTGCCAGCTTGCCAGGTGAGCTTCAAACAGCCGAAGGCACCCTAGGGGACTGGTCAAAAATCAAATCCACCTCTTTTTCTCTCTGTTTTTTTTAAAGGACTTGTGTAGACTTAAGACCTTCAGGAGGTTTAAGGGCTGCTATAGGAACCCTTTAACCCTTTGACCTTGCACAACCCCATCTAGACTGAAACATTTCATTCACTCTCTCTCCCATTTCAGCAAAAATGCCAGCTTGCCAGGTGAGCTTCAAACAGCCAAAGGCACCCTAAGGGACTTAAGACCTTTAGCAGCTTTAGGAACGAATAAACCAATGACTCAAATACAATATCAAGCTATTTGTATTTAGATGCTGTTATTATTTATTTTATCTATATCGATCCATAATTCTTTTCAAAATTTGAAAGTGACACTAATTTTCTTTCGTTTTACAAAGGGAGATAATTTAGGAATTGTCAAGTTATGTTGTCTCCTGGAACACCCACAAGTTAACCTGGGCATACATATAACCTGGGAACCCTTTCAGCAAAAGTGGGCAGCTTCCTTGGCGCGGACAGACAGTCAGCGTGTCTGTGTTGAGTTTTCCATGTGATGTGATTAAATCAAAGGGAAATTATTATAAAAACTAAAAGTTCAATGCTAGTTATTACTGTGTTTGATTTACTAGACTGAATGGATATTAAACGCAAGTGTCCTTGTGCTTTATAATAGTTTACGTTCAAACTATACTTTAATAAACTACATATGAGGATAGAGCAACAATTATTTCTTAAAGACATGCTCCATTTGCTTTTTCTGCATGGTTGAACCTTGGCTCTATTAATATCAAAATTGTATGTTTATTTAGTGTCAACTTGATGGTTTGTAGCAGACTACAAGAACCGAGTACCCGAGTTACCCACAGTACTACCCGGGTCCTACTCAGGACCAACCAAACCTGAGCTGCCCACAGTACTACCCGGGTCCTACTCAGGACCCACCAAACCCGAGTTGCTCACAGTACTACCAGGGTCCTACTCAGGACCCACCGGAGTTGCCAACAGTACTACCAGGGTCCTACTCAGGACCCACCCAACCCGAGTTGTCCACAGTACTACCCGGGTCCTACTCAGGACCCACCCAACCTGAGTTACCCACAGTACTACCAGGGTCCTACTCAGGACCCACCCAACCCGAGTTGTCCACAGTACTACCCGGGTCCTACTCAGGACCCACCCAACCTGAGTTACCCACAGTACTACCCGGGTCCTACTCAGGACCCACCCAACCTGAGTTACCCACAGTACTACCAGGGTCCTACTCAGGACCCACCCAACCCGAGTTACCCACAGTACTACCAGGGTCCTACTCAGGACCCACCCAACCTGAGTTACCCACAGTACTACCCGGGTCCTACTCAGGACCCACCCAACCTGAGTTACCCACAGTACTACCAGGGTCCTACTCAGGACCCACCCAACCCGAGTTGCCCACAGTACTACCAGGGTCCTACTCAGGACCCACCCAACCCGAGTTGCCCACAGTACTACCAGGGTCCTACTCAGGACCCACCCAACCCGAGTTGCCCACAGTACTACCAGGGTCCTACTCAGGACCCACCCAACCCGAGTTGCCCACAGTAATACCAGGATCCTACTCAGGACCAACCCAAACCGAGTTCCCCCCATTACTTCCAGGGTCCTACTCAGGAACCACCCAACCCGAGTTACCAACAGTACTACCAGGGTCCTACTCAGGACCCACCCAACCCGAGTTGACCACAGTACTACCAGGGTCCTATTCAGGACCCACCCAACCCGAGTTACCCACAGTACTACCAGGGTCCTACTCAGGACCCACCCAACCCGAGTTACCCACAGTACTACCAGGGTCCTTTTAAGGACCCACCCAACCTGAGTTACCCACAGTACTACCAGGGTCCTACTCAGGACCCACCCAACCTGAGTTACCCACAGTACTACCAGGGTCCTATTCAGGACCCACCCAACCTGAGTTACCCACAGTACTACCAGGGTCCTATTCAGGACCCACCCAACCTGAGTTACCCACAGTACTACCAGGGTCCTACTCAGGACCCACCCAACCTGAGTTACCCACAGTACTACCAGGGTCCTACTCAGGACCCACCCAACCTGAGTTACCCACAGTACTACCAGGGCCCTACTCAGGACCCACCCAACCCGAGTTACCCACAGTAATACCAGGATCCTACTCAGGACCAACCCAAACCGAGTTCCCCCCATTACTTTCAGGGTCCTACTCAGGACCCACCCAACCCGAGTTACCCACAGTACTACCAGGGTCCTACTCAGGACCCACCCAACCCGAGTTACCCACAGTACTACCAGGGTCCTACTTAGGACCAACCCAACCCGAGTTACCCACAGTACTACCAGGGTCCTACTCAGGACCCACCCAACCCGAGTTACCCACAGTACTACCAGGGTCCTACTCAGGACCCACCCAACCCGAGTTACCCTTGCTAGCAACCTATGCTAAATAACTTGTTCATTTTTATGATTTTCACATTACCATGAGCCTATGATGTGCACTTTTTATAGTGAGTATGACATTCCATTACAGTTCTGTATACCGTATTCTAGTGTTTTAAGTAAGAATACTTGGCACTAAAATATGGACCATTTCTGCAAGTAGTAAACATTTTGAAAAGTTATTTCCCAAGATGTGATCCTTTCCCTCTTTACAATCAATATGATAACCTGGTATTCTGAAAAACTGAAATAATACACAGAATTAAGGTGTACATGTTTACACTGCCTGACTGTTTTAGGCTTTAATTACCATTTATACCACAATATGATCACATTTCAATGAATCTTGTGACTTGAAAGGCTGACATGGCAGTCATTATGAAAAAGAGTAACTCTATATGCAGTTCATTTTAAGACTATCACCATGTACCAGCTCCACAATCAATAAGAAAGAAATAGTTCTGAGTGTCTGTTTATTTGAATTTTCCTAGAATCATGTAAATAAGATTGTGGAAAATAGATTATTAGTCATTATTCTTTTGTCAGCATCAGCAACCAAATATGACGTCTTGTAGAAGAACGTTATCACAAAATTTCAATGAACACTCTAGAACTTATTGGGTGTTATGTGTTTTGAACAAAACATTTACTATTTCTCTTCTCTGGCTCAGCCTAACATGTGACATGTACATCGCTCAATAAGGGTGAGTTTCTGTATCTTTGGTATTGTGTTCTGTAGGATGGCTAATGTACATCGCTCAATAAGGATGAGTTTCTGTATCTTTGGTGATGTGTTTTTGTAGGATGGCTAATGCACATTGTCAATACATTTAGTCAAATGAAAGAAAAGCCTTGTAAATATGATTATGGGTATTATGTATGACATACAGTTGAACATGATGTAATAGGTTTGATTTTAATGCATTTCAGGTACAATGTTCAAGAAAAAGAAGTATTGGTGTGATTTCAAAGGAAAATGACGACTGCCCTAGATGAAAACTTGAAGGAGGTGATATTACCAAGGATAGTAAGATTGTCAAGTTTTATCATGTCTGCCAGAAAATACAGAAGTTCAATTTATCTTTGAAAGAAATTCACAACCAAGGGGAATTCAGACAAGAGATTATTGATGGGGACAGGAAAATAGTGATATCAAAGTCAGAACTGGATAATGTTATATGCAAATTTTGCACTGAGTTGCGGGGTTCTGGAGCAAAGCAAATAAGAATATTGATAAACCAGTATGTTGCAAGCATTTCTCAGGAAGCCATACAAGACTTTATAGACAGGCAGGATGACAGGCAACTGTTACGTCCTAAATGTGCTAATGTCGCCGAACTAAAACAGGTGATCTCAACACCACCACTGGGGCGACACCAGGTTGACCTTGTGGAATTAACTGGAATGCCTGCAGAAAATGATGGTGAAACATTCATTTACATCTTGTCAGTGATTGATGTTTTCACAAGATTCGTGTGGCTTCGGCCTCTTTCAAACAAAAGAGCCAGTTCAGTGGCCACAAAATCTACTTTGAGTATTGATGGGGAAATGCAAGAATATTACAGTGTGATCAAGGCTCCGAGTTGAAAGGAGCAGTCAACCAACTCTGCATCTTCACACATTGTGTCCATGTAGGGAATCGAACCCGGGTCTTCGGCGTGACGAGCGAACGCTTTAACCACTAGGCTACCCGACCGCCCCGTATGTGACAAATGACACCGTAGGGGCAGGATAGGCTAACCTTCACGAACACCTGCTACTATCACTATGTTATATTGATTCATAACACATGCTTACGATATTGTTGAAATCTTACAATGGGCCAAGCTTTTAGGAGATGTTTCTTATGATTATGGAAATTGTTTTTGTTATTTATTTCATATACATGATATAACACATGTGTGCACTTTTTACCTTTAGATTGGTTAATAAGGCATTTTTAAGTGAAAATGCCTCATCTGTTTATTATTTAGGTGTTAATCTGTTTCAGAGTGAATGATCACACCGGGATTGGAAAATCCATCTTGAATTTGATCACAGCAAACATGCATTCGTCACCACTCGCCCCTTTCCGTAACCTGAAAGAAGACTCGTCCCCCTCTCGATGAATGTTATGTGCGAAAATACGACAAACCAATCAGAATGCGCGTATGGCTTCAAGTACATCGGTCAAAGAATCCCTCAGCTATAATTTTTGATTTTACATACGTCTTGTATCTAAAAATAAACCCAAGATACAGATAAATTTGTTCAATCATATTTTATATTAATTTAAGTCTGATGTGTTTTAAATATTATCAGGAATATATAACATATAGGGGAAAAAATATGTGTGAATCATTACGCAAAATGGCCGCTGAATTTGAAACAGCGTTGGCGTATGCCAAAGACAATATTGACATCAGTTTTAAATTAAAGGACAAGCAAGAAGAAACTTTAAAAACAGTGTTCGCAGGACGTGACTGCATAGCTGTGTTGCCAACAGGATATGGGAAAAGTCTCATTTTTCAACTTTTGCCTTTTCTTCTCCAGAGAGATCGGCCAGCTCCAGGAATTGTCATCGTCGTCAGCCCCCTGAATTCACTCATGCAGGACCAAGTCATCTCACTCTGTGAGAAAGGAGTCAAAGCCTGTTTTCTGAACTGTCAAGGTAAGCAGGTACATATGTCATGTCTATAGGCCTATATGTTTGAAATGCTGACATGAGTCAATATTTTATGGTAGAATCTAACAGATAACCGTAATATGTTCATGAAAAAGGCTTAATAAGCGTTAATTAAAACTTGACTGTTCATTGTTCATCAGCATCGTGATCTATCATGAAAAGATGCATAGACTTATATACAATTGTTAACTGCAGTTTGATCAGTTCACACATTTATTATTTCATCATAAGTATGATGGCTTCATACTTTGATGAAATAATAACGAAGTGTATATATTTTAATGTTGAAATTAGATGAAGCTTTTGAATGGTAGTCCGCAAGATTTATCTTTGGACATCGGTTCCATTCCGGTCAAAGGCAAACACATCGTAAATCCTTATTTATTACATGTATTTTTATTTTGTGATTCAATCTCATATTTTGTTTAAGTATTATTATTATTATTATTATTATTATAGATGTTTTCTAACAACTAATTACTACATTGCAAATAAAAATACACACAAGTTTTTCTGTTTGCTTTATGATTTGTTAATTGATCAATTACTTTGCCACGTAGGACATAAACTTAATTCAACCATATTACTTTCAGGATATGCTGGCAACACATTTAGGATAGTCACCCGGCATATTGTAGGAGATGAAAATGATAAACTAGAAGAGGGTGATGGAGAACCCAGTGAGACCGATGTCCATGCACCTGTACATGTCAGCATGGCTGACTTAAGAAAAGGTGTATATAACCTTGTGTATGCTCATCCTGAGACTTTAGTAAACAACAAGACTGTTGGAACAATGCTTCGTTCCAAAATCTATCAAGACAGTGTTTGTGCAGTTGCCATTGATGAGGTGCACATGATATCTGAATGGTTGGTTATAGTGTTATTGTTACTGTTTGTAAATAACTACAAGTATGTATGTTAAAAAGGAATCTTAAGCACAGTGATAAGTATTTACAATTGTGAAGAGACCGCCTCCGTGGTCCAGTGGTAGATCGTCCGCCCGGAGAGCGGAAGGTCTGGGGTTCGATCCCCAGCCGCGTCATACCAAAAGACGTTAAAAGATGGTACTTGTTGTTACCCTGTCTGGCGTTAGGCATTAAGGGGCTAAAACAAGGACTGGTCAGCTCGGAGTCAGTATACTGTGTCTGAGTGGGATATTCATGTTAAACTGCGGCATGGTATCTGAGTGTGCTAGCACTATAAATCGGCACCAGTCCGGACTAGTACAAGCAGCCACACACACACATACACGTGCATGCACATTGCTATATAAGTGCAATAATCTTGGCCGTGACGTTAAACCCCATTTCACCTCACCTACAATTGTGAAGCATACATAACTATATGCACTGTTTTCACAGGGGTCCCAAGTTCCGGACAGCTTTCCATAAGCTATCAGAAGTTATCTGCATTTTCCCCGACGCTGCACACCTTGCTCTGACAGCCACCGCCACACCTGCTGCTGTTAAGACACTTGCCTCAAATCTTCAGTTCACAGATCATGGATTGGTTACCATCAACCCTGATCATCCAAATATATATCTTGAGGTTAGTGCACTTATATATTGAAATTGCTAATAATCTTGACAGTGAGCATGGTGATGCTGAATAGTTTATGTATATATTGTACCAATTATCCGACAAGAGCTATATACATATTTGGAAATGGTGCATTTATTACCATAACTTCCAGCAGCTGCTGATCATGTTAATGTGTTGTCATAAGGTAACATTGTGTTACAAATTACATGTGTGTGTGCAGAGGATATAATGATATAAACTATTAACTGTGCTGTGTAAATGATAAATATGTTGAGTAAACATACATTCTCTTCAACAGGTTAAAACAAGGCTGCCGAATATAAGGAAGTTTGACAAGTTAGATGACCTAATACATCCTCTAGCACAAGAGCATTCCAAACTTGCCGATTTCCCAGTCACAATTGTATACATAAACAATGATGCAGACCTAGGCTATTCCTACCAATATGTTGCAAGATACCTTGGACAAGATGGGTATTTACCTAAAGACTGCCCTACTCCAGAGAATAGGTTGTTTGCTCAGTTCCACAAGGACTATACAGAAGCAATGAAACTTCACATTATTCAGGAGCTCAGGAAACAAAGTCCGAAATTAAGACTTGTTTTAGCTACAGTGGCTTTGGGTATGGGATTGAATGCCCCAAGTATTGCTCGTGTGATGCATTTCCAACCACCAACAACCTTGGAAAAGTATTTCCAAGAAATCGGCCGTGCTGGTAGGTCCGGACAACCCTCAAGTGCAGTCTTGTTTTACAATAAAAGTGACATTGCAGCGAACCGTGAAGACATGACAGATGCAATGGTGCAGTATTGTGTCACAAAAGAATGTTTGAGATTGCACCTGGTGTCTTACTTTGGATTTGACTCAGTATTGTTCAATGGAGATTCTGACCATTGTTGTTCGAACTGTAGAACCAAGAAAGGCTCTTGCCTTTCATGAATGTATATGAGGATTTTCAGAGACTGTACTGTATGTACATTGTTTTGCTTTTTTCTTGTACATGATGATCAGGAAATAACAAGTTCATGCAATGTTTGAGCAGACACTGAAAAGATACCAGGGTTTACATATGTTTCAATTGTGGTCCCCTGTTTTAGGTCATTGTCGTTTTTTGCTAAATTGTCTGGAGATACAATGTATATGACATTGGATTGAAAAGGATGGTAACATCAAGAAATATTGTGGGCATTTAATCTATTTACCATGTGTATCTCATGACGGGGATATTGTCAGGTCAAATTTATTGGTTGTGTCTTTCTAAAATGTTATGGTTATCTGAACATAATTCTGTATTTGTAAGTCAGGATAAGCTGAGTTGTGACCTGATAATAAACAGTGTATGACCATGTTTGAGGTCTGGTTGAGAATGTATGATATGGCCATGCCCAGCAAGCTTTGACATCAACTTCTATCAAACAATTTTCATGGGAGAATTATTATACTCTCAACCCTCAACATGCTCCACAGGAAGAACCTTTGAAGTTTCTATGATTAACCATTGTAGTCTGAATGAATTTTCTGTTTTCAGATTCCTGACAATGAAGATATTTATCAGATGTATGCAACATACTGATCAAATTACTGCTATAACCTTATGTTAGCCAGTAAAATACCTTAAATGTGCAGAAATGTGCAGAAATTTGTTGTCTAAAGTCTCTGGGAACAAATACTTTCCAAAGCCCTGGTGATTTAGGTAGAATGACACCATTAAAGGCTAATAACTAGCAGAAACCTGTTGGTTTTCCACTTGGATTCATTATTTTTGGCAACAGTAATCTTGTCCAGAGTAATAGCGTCTGTCCTGTCACCAGATAGTACAAGCACAAATAATAATTGCACCTTTGCTCTTTGCAGGTCACTTACTTTCCAACCAACACTATCATGGCACCATATGCTTTTGAAAATAATTGTTATTTTACAAAATAAATATTATGAGTATATTCGACTGTCGACTGGGATAAGTCATTGTCCTAAGCTGGCATTATGTCATAGTTTGTCTCTCCTGTCACTGTCTCTGCTGTCACCTTAAAAAAAGTGACAGGACAGACATAGTGTTCAATAAATGTTTCAACATATATATATATATATTAAAAGACAAAGAAAACATGAATGGTAATTTATTTTGTATGGTTGCTCGTTGCATGAAAATCTGAATATTACTAACATTTGGGTCAATAAACACTGATTACACTGCACAGTAGATCTTTGGTAACAGCACAGACTTTTAATAGTGACAGCACAGACACATTTTCAGTGACAAAGACATTTCAGGATTTTATTTTTTTTTATCATGTTGAGAAATAATGAACAATTATTCATTTTACTCGTCCTTTGTACATGATTAAGAAATGTAACATATTTAGCAACTCTAAAGGAAAGTAATGTTACATAATCACTTCAAACACTGTCTATGAGAGTGGAGGTGTGTGTGTGCTGACAGAATGAAGAGTCTGAATGATTATGAGATTCACCAAAAGACAAGTAAGGAAATGGTACAAAGTTCAGATGATATAGATGGAAAGACAAAAGGAAATTACCCAGCCAGTTGATACAAATGAATGCCTGGGGAAATATGTTGTCATTATGTATAACATATCATATCTTGGTTCTGTTGAAGATATAGATCAAGGTGATGTTTTTGTGGAATGTATGCATAAAATGGGAAAGCACAGGAATGCAAATTGTTTCTTCTGGACACGCGCAAACTTAAAGACAAATGCTGGTACCATTTTGAGGACAAAGTTAGCTTGGTACCAGAGCCTTCCAAAATATCACTGTCCTCTGACTATAATACATATTAAGCCTGCACACTTTACACTTATATTCAATAACTGTTGTTATTTATCAGCTCAATAAAAACATTTCAAAAGTGAATTCTGATTTGTTGTTTTTTCATAGGCCAAAATGTTACTTTTTTAGAGAATGACTCATATATGAATTTGGTTCCTAAGGAGGATGTGACAGTTGAAGTCCTAACCGGAATCACCATTAACTTTGTACTTTTTTCACCTAGACCCACCATATGTTCAATCTTACTGACTGTGCATGAGGGATTGCCAATGAAGTCAACATCTGTGTTCCAAACTGGAAATACTCAACACTTTGTTACGAAGTTATAATAAGGTAAGGAATCTTGATAATGCAGTAAGAAATAATGTCATTGGAAACCTCTTATGGCTGATCACATCTATATTTATTATTCTTCGTCTTCGGTTTCACAATCTCCATGCTGCAATATGACCCCTTGCTTCAGTCTTGTCAAAGTGTTTGCAACACTTGTCTTGAACAATTCCAGATTGAAAGTATAGGGAGACTTGCATATTCCAGCAAAGCCAGATAGGTCTCTTCCTGGTGTTACTTTCCATGGATTGTTGTTTTTCAGTACTGATAGAATTTCCAGAATATCTTCAGTTTCCGATCTTTTGTGATGCCTTGACACGAAGTTTGTTGTATCTGTCATGAGTAGTAAATTGTCCACCACACTTTCAACTACTGGGGCTACCTTAGATATCTTTACTATGGACTTCTCTGTTTTGTTTGCACCTAATCCACGGATCAAGTCCTTTAACACTAATACTTGATTCTCTTTTTGCATGTCAGATGCTTTGTTGTGCCCTCTCCTGCCAGTGGGATTTACAAAAGAGGCAGCCCTAACTTTCAGAGACTTGCGTGGAGTCATCATGACCTCTGTTTTGAGGATGTAGTCCAGGCACTCGGTCATGTATTTTGACAGGGATGAGTGTGAATAAAATAGTGGTGTCATGAATTTCAAGACGATGTTGCAAAGTTCAAGGTTTCCCTCACTTGTAGCCTCTTGCATGCCAAGAATAACAAAATACCAGTTCAGGAAATTCACAGCGTAATTGTGCAGATCATCATTCATTGATGCATCCTCTTGTATGGTAACTGGGGTGGTGAGACCAGGAATTGTAACGGACACCCCATTCCTCACTTGTCCTGTAGATACACTAATAATGAATCTGTTGCCTGGTGTGTGCACTGTCACCTTGATCCATCCATCCTCAACGGGCAAGGTTAGTTTCCTGGTGTTCATTCCAATGATGACACTGATATCTGCTGTCTTGGAGCTCGATGTCTGAAAATTGTAAAAAAACAAATGATAAGTGCATCAGTTTAACTTCTGCAGAGAGTCCAACAGAATTATGCAAGCTTTTGTTTTAGTGGTATAGACCACACTCTGCAAAACAAGATATTTAATTGTTCAAGAGTTATATATACTGTTAATCTTGAAATTAATGCAAGTGTGAATTAAATACGAATAAGGTGAGTGGTCTTTGCTTGCATGAATTAATTTATGTCTCATTGCACACTTTATTTGCTGTTTGGTTGGATTAAGGTAAGGATAAGTATCATTCCACTGGGTGGGGTGGGGGAAGAGCCTTATTGATATTGATTACCATTTTCGCCTAGCGGTCGGCAGTCGTTATATTTTGAGACGTATTAATTTCCAGATTTAAAGTATGTATATGTGGAAGCTTACAACTTGTTGTTGCAGTGGTCGAATGAACACAGAGTCAATGATGTCATCCATGAACTTGTTGAAAACTTCTTCCTTTTTGTTGCTGTGCCACATCTTAATGGTTTCGGGCATGTCTGGGTGATGTGGACTGTCATTGATAGTTTGCATGTTCAACTTTTCCATTGCCAGATTCAGGAGATAAGAAGTACCCACAACATCCACAAACTGTTCGTGGGCCTGTGAAAATAAAAACTGACATCAGTGTCACACAGTACATAGTTCTTATCACTTTAGAAATAAACGAAGTGGGAGTTTATCGTACAATGTCTGTACCTTTTCTTCCAATACCGATTCTCAATCTCGCCCACTTTTCGGCCATCCTGTTTATCTGTATAGCCAAGCTACATATATGGGGAACATCTTACAAGACAATTCCCTCTCGAAAATAACATTGTCCAATATATGAGGTCATCAAGTTGAATCTCCAGAAATCATGTCACGATAGAACAATGGTTTATCGTTAAAAAAAAAACATTTGACTCTTCACTGTTCTTTGCTTTCTTATATATTATTAGTTTAGCTAACCAAGCAAAACATGATTAGTTTGTAAGGCTTAGTGACACAATGCTTATAAAATGATATTGAAACCATATCTTGACATCCTGGGTCATACCTTAAATCTGACCTTCACCTTGCCATTCACATTTGTTCTCTGGATAACCATCTTGAGGTGACATAGCGTACCCTTGTCGGTACCCTTATCGAGTTTCAGAAATTTCTTGCAAAGTTTCTGGATGAAAGAAATTCTGAGATAATTCTCTACTAATAATCAGTTATCAGCACACCACATTTATATAAACTGGCACTGATCAATACTTCCAGTTTATCATCTGAATTCATTATTCAGGTTGATCATTCATTTATTTTGCCTTAAAACAACAAGTTCCACAAACATGTATCTTGACTTTGGAGTATCCTTGCAGCATATTCAGAAGCATGAAATATATTCAACAGTTAAAATAATCATTTCAGGGGTTGAAAAGAATATGAAAAATGTTACTTGACCAAGGGAAAGTATGACCAACAGTCTAACTTGCCATATTTTGAAATGTACTTGTCCAAAATCAAACCAATAAATTAAGTAAAATGTTACATCTACAGAACTGAGAATCAGAGATAATGTTCCCTCAATATTGCATTAATTCGGTTTAAGCGTGGTAACGGGAATGCATGGCTCCCAAAATTTAATTACATATTTAATAAACTCAAGTTTTACACTGACACAATGTTTTTCCCCCCATCTCTGAAACCATTATCAGCTGATACTCACGATTATATGTCTTACCTTTGTGGAATGACTGTATTCATTAGCCAATTTCATGAGATTGTTACATAGGAGATATCACATGTGAAAATGAACCAGATGAACAATGAATAATCATACCTCCAGAAAGTCCTGTAGTGTGTGAAACATTTCCACAACAACTGGTTCTAGTTGCTCAAATCTCTCCTGTTGAGTGTGGCATCCTTCCCTTAGGGCCTTGGCCCCTTGAAGACGAACTCTGGTTAGTTGATCTCCCCCAACAGGGACTTGCAAATGCTCTAACTCTGATCCTGCAACGACATAAGTATGGGTGTCATTTCCTTGGTTTGTATAAAAAAATAAACTGGTAAATAAAAAAGATTTACAATGGTTATCAAAGCTTCATTTCAAACTACTGCCTTAATGCTGTTGTCAAAAAAGATGTTATGGAGCAGATGTACATTGTATAGAGAGAAAAGTAATGAATTATTCAATCCATTCCACCTATGTAATTAATTTCTCTTTCAAATACATTTGCATACTGTGATTGTAGCTGTCTTAGCTTCTGATTATTGTGAGCTATGTTGCTAAGCAAGTAAATTACCTCTTCCTGCTTTGGCATACCAACGGTTTATCCATTCCACATAACCATCCATGATGCCAATGCAGTCTGAGTACTTGGACTCGTTCTTCAACATTATTGGAAGGATGAATATGGATGATCGCTTTGACATTTCCTCTTGATGATCATGGGGTATATGTTCTGGAAGAATGCTTTTCATCCAAGACAGTCCACTAATGTTATGAACTAATTTCCTTGCAATGAAAATTTTGAGGCAGTTTCTGAATTTTTTAATTTCTTCAGGGTTTGGGAGAAAATGATCTGGACCAATCTGGTCAGTATTTCCAATTGGAGCATTATCTGGAAGATGCATCACATTAACACGGTCCAAAACAAAATCTGAGGCAAAGAAGTGGTAATCTTTGGACTTGTTGGTCATTCTGATATCATTTGTATTGACCCTCAGATCAAGATTGTCCCCATTGATCTTTCCATCAGCTCCTGCAAAACAAAGTCAAGTCATACATGGCTCTCTCCCAAAATTACAGTGGTGGTCATAGCTCTCGAGTCTGAAAAACATTAAGTAAACAATTGTAAAAAAAAAAAAAAAATGATTGAAAAAAATAACAGTAAAATATATGGACTATTAAATGAATTTTTGAGCACACAAATGTTATAGTTTCCATTTTGTCAAAAATAACAATGATTTTCAGAACAGATCCCTGTAACTGCAAAGTCAACAATTCAGTATTTCTGTCAGTAAGGAAGCTTAAGCCATCTCTGCATTGTTACCAATACTAAAACTTGACTTTTGTAAAGTAATAATATCTTTACTTGCACTACAGTAATCAATTCTATATATTTTGTTGTTAGAAAACAAACAACACGTATGATAGTACAGATATTAATCTTTACACAAGAATAAGACATTGAATCACAAAATACATATACATGCAATGAATAAGGATTCTCAATGTGTTTGCCTTTGACCGGAATCAAACCGATGTCAAAAGATTTTTTTAAAAAAGACTACCATTCAAAAGCTTCATTACATCAAATTTCAATATTAAAAATATACACACTGTTGTTATGCACAGATCATACTTGTGAAGAAATAATAAATGTGTGAACCTTTCACACTTGTGGAGGAAATATAAACACTTAACCAGTCACTACTCATTACATTTACTCGTCAAAAGCTACCCTTTCCCGTTCCATATGTACAAATGTCCCATATCGATCATACCTGATGAAATAGATCTGATGATATCTTCCTCACAATGACTGACAAAGCTGTCCAGCAACTGATCTTTTGACTTGTCTGATAGAGTGACATGAACTTTGTTCAGCAAGGACAACAGCTGCAACATTATAGAAGACATTCAATGATTCATTAAAAGGAAGAATATGAACAATGTCAAATTACACACAATCATGTTGAGCTTTTTCTACTATGTTTCACTTTGACTTTACTATTTATTTGATGTAAATCTCACATAATGAAGGTACTCCTGTAACTACTATAATTTAGCACATGAATTCACCATATCAACACTGGGGTTTCAAAAATATTCTGATTTACTTACTTTGACATGGGAAACACTCCTTTCTAGCAAAAATCATGCTAAAACAAATAAAAAGGAAACATGAAACAAATTTATATTTAACTATCAAAACTTCACAACAATGTAATATTTGGTGTTGTCAGTTCATGTCAGATTTAGATTTGAAAACTATACATGAAATGATCCCAAAATGACAAAAGAAGTGGAATTACATTGCAACAGATGCTTTCTTCAAATTACACTGGGATTCCTGCTTCACACATGGAAAGCAACTCAGTTCGTCTTCAATAGTGTAAGGCCTATGTACTTTCATTAACTGAATTTTAAAACTGTATCCAAAAATAATATGTCCAATAGATCTTTGACAGTAACTGAACTTACACACCAAATACATCAAATACATGTAAGTCAGTATTCAAAATTCCGAAATGCTGAAACATGCTAAAGTCACATTACACTGTAGTTATTTCACTGTAAACATCATGAACATGCTCCAAATGTTTGTTCCAGTAATTTATATAAATTCTTTGTCAAACATGCTGTCAGTAAAGTGTTCCCATGTGTTAGTTAATCGTGAAAAAACAATCATTGATAATAAAATGTGCATGCATGTAAAACGATATTCTCACACACCTGTCAGGTGAAAGAATGCATGGGTGCATAGTAAATGCATTCATGTTAACCACATAATGATGTTGTCATTATAATTATTACATCTTTACATCATTAAATAACTTCCACAAGAAAAGATGGTGAATATACCAACAGTTGTTGACATACTATATTCTGGCAATGCGATCATGTTTATTAGTATCAGAGTATGCATTCTTTCAACTTTGGTCTGCAATGAAACTTACTTCAAACTTTGGCAAACTGGAATGAACTGAAAACTGTAAGAAAGAGCTAGTCATATATACTTTGTTGTTGGCATGATACTTTATGGCTGCTGTTGTGAACAATCTCTGCACTGCTGACACCTTATTATTGTTGCAGTGCAGTATCATGCCATATATTGTGGCAATTGTTGCAACCTTTGAACTTTGAGGTATCTTATCACCTAGAGCTGCCTGGATAACGTGAAATAACAACGGACAATATTCTTTCAGTTCACAGACAGCAGCAGCAAACACATTTGTGTCTGACAAGTGGTCTGGAGTCTTATCATATAATACACTCTTGCCTGGGGAACACATGATTCTAATTTGTCCAGTGAGGGCTTTGGTATCACCATCAAGTGTGACAGGTACTTCCAAAAGTTTTACTGCAGAAGACTGCTGCTCCTCTTTATTTGCGCCGGGCTGGGCTGATATCAAAGGCTTACAGTACGTGTGTTCAACTTGACACTCTTCTGTAGGTCTACGGGAGTCCAGTGATGTGTCCTGACCTGTTCCTGCACCAGTAATAGCACTGACAGACTCAGCTATAACTTCAGCCACTGTCCTTCGCCTTGGTTTAGTTGGGAGTAACTTCCTCTTGGCTTTTACCTTTGGTTTTAGTACTGTGTCAGATGGGTCTGTGCTAGATCTATCGTCTCTGGTGTCCCCCACTAACGTGTACTTTTTTCCTAGATGCCCCAGATGGCGTTCGGGCTTGTCTTTTAACACGTTGTAGTGTAGACAATATATGTATAGCATGTTGCGAAGCAGCTGATCTAAATTCATGATAATTGTTTATCTTTGTAAAACAAGTCGTACACAGAAACAAATAAGGTTGGTCTTTCTCATACAAATCTACACTGAAAAAGTCTTCCAAACGATCTATGACTGTTTGTTTGCCACTTATCTTCCGACCACTCAGTTGGAACAGTCTATATGGGTTTGTACATCCCGCCAAACACAGCTTACTTTGTGTTTTGATCGGCGTTATATCGGCAGCCATGTTGGAAGTAGTCTCACAAGTTGACAATTATTTTAGCTTTGCCCGTTTGCGCTCAGACGGAACCCGGTCGCAAAAATGGCCACGAGAGGGGCACGAGTCGCTATTCGGCTTGTCCCGGAATAACACGAGTTGGTCACGAATGAGCAAACATGGTGAAGGAGAAAGCTTCAACTGGGTGAAAAAGTTGCCAGCATATGCTAGAATACACAATGAAAGCATTCATTCTGCTCTTGGTAAAGTTTGAATATATAGCTTTAATTTAATGTGGACATATGTCACACAGAGTGAAGCACACAATGTAAGCACACAGTGTGAAGCACACGATGTAAGCATATACTTTTCAGACTGTAAGCATTCGTAAATGTAGATGTGTGACATTGAATTTTTTTAAGCATTGACCAACAAATAACCATCATGGCACAGTGAAATGATAATGGCTCATTACAGGAGGTACAACTGTTTCATAGCTGACCAGGTATTGACCAACACATAGTTTCGTGCACACTTCAGGTTACTGCAAGTTTATAGAACTCGGGAAATATCAAGATTGCCACGGTGCAGTTGTGACATTTATTGTTGAAGAAGACATGAGAAACACAGGCTTGTATTTAAACATAATTCCTATGTTAACAGGTTGTTCCCCATACAAGGCCATGCTGGGCTGCCCTCCAGTACACTTCAAGAATTTGTTGAGAGCTGGGAGTACAGTTGATGCATCCTCTTGCTCTGAAGAAGATGAGCAGTGCGAACTATCTGCAGAGAGTGATGAGGTATGGAGGATTTATGTCATTACGCATAACAAGAGGACAAACTCATCTATATACCCACCCATTGTCTAGTCTTAAATACAATGATATGTGCAATCAATTGTGACGTTGTAATTTATCAGTTTGTCTCACTTCCTTGTGGAAGAGATTGAATACAAGAGCAAATATAACATCTCCAGAAACTTTGTACAAATATCTGTTTTAGTAAGACTGTAATGATAAACACAGGTTATAACCATCTTCAAGTTTGTGAAAGCTAAGAATATTTGTATACTTGAGCACTGCACAATTAACTCATTTAGATATCATGAATTGTATTTTAGAGCATTGTTTTCAGGCAGGTATTGTTGCAGTTCTTTACAGGTACATGTAGTTACCAGAGTAAGGTACACGGTACAGATAGGGTACAAAAGTTGTAAGCATGCTGACCCCTCAAAACCGGGTGATTTTCTAATACATCTACTATCAATCCTTTTATGGATTTGTTGCAGTGTGTACTGGGGTGTCATTTAATTAGAATAAGAAAATAAATATAAATGTTATAATTGCTTCCATTCAATTCATGTCTAAATTTAGATTTTTTTATAAAAACAATTATTGGGGGAATAAATAGCAAAAGACACATTTCACTTTTTGGTGACTACATGTGTGATGTGTTTGTGAGCTACGGTGCTTAGTCAATTGTATTTACAAAAACATGTTTTTTCACACTTACCTGATGTATGTTGGGGTAAAGGAAGCAATAATTTTTATTCTGACGGATGTGCTGAATGAACCCTATAAAGAAGTCAACCGCGAATGTAAATCAACAGAATTTGATGCCAGTCAAGTTCTAGGGAGGGGTGTCCACATCACTGTGGGTGACGAATAATGACGGTTTGGTTCACACAGGGAGGATTAAAATGCCTCTGTTATACAGGATGACTGACCTGCTGGATGTGTTGTGATGATTGTGCTTGCACACTGATGTCAACACCCACATATATATTCTTTACAAGAAGTAAACAGATACAAGTAATTGGATGTATATAAGCCATGGTGACGTTTCATTTTGTAACATTAGTATTTCTTTGTGTGACAATGTGTGAATTTATTAGGGCTGGGACGGGGAACTCGGGTACCTGGGTTAGGTGGGTACTGAGTAGGACCCGGGTACCCACAGGACCTGTGGTTAGTCACAGGATATATTGTTTAATGACAAAAATTATCCAGAACTCTATGCTTACACTAGAAGTCACTAATGTTCGCATTTCTTTCTGACTGTGCACCCATTCCTTCTGACTTTTTATATGGTTGAATATAGATACAACTTAAGTGAACTTCAGTGCATGCATGGCCAGATCATTGAATACATGTATCTAAATACGTTTTGCCGCTGATAGTAAATCCCATTTCTAATCTGAATGCTATGGGTCAACATTTCTAATTTTAAGAGATTTTTAAGTATATTATTATTCCTCTCCCCTTGACCAGAAATGGGATATTACCAATAAAATTGACAAATAAAAGAATCTTTAGATTTTCTTTTGGCTGCTGATAGTAAATCACATTTCTTAACTTGTGAGCAGAATCTGAATGCTATCACAGCAAAAAAAGTGTAGGTTTCCGTTCTCTGGAAACCTTCTAGAAACCTTCCCACTTTGGATCCGACCCGGATACCTTCCGGAAATCTTTAAAAAAATTTTGGGGGTGCACATTGTTCATTTAAGTGTGAAACACATAAAGAACAGCTGAAAAATACCAAGAAAATTCAAGGTTGCTGAGGGTATCTCGAAGGTTTCCGGAAGGTAACCGGATGCAAATTTTCTTCATGTCTTGTTCCTGGTAAATAATGTTAGCCTGTGCATATCAGATAGCTGTTGTAATATTCTGTGTTATTTTAGTTGTAAACATCCTCCTAAAACTGAGATCTATTTTTGGCGAAGACTGAAAAAAAATTCCATTTCATATATTATTCTTTTCAGATGTTAAGCGGATTTAATGAACAAACATCAGTTCTCGTATAATGATATCATCAAATTTCATGTTCAGACTTCCAGTTTGTAGCGAGAAAAAGTTTAAAGTCATGGACAATGGGCTCACTTGGGCCTTTGGTCCTGGTGAGATGATAATAAGATTATTTGTAACGCTGTTATATCCAGACATACTAACTTCATTGAAGTTTGCCCCACCCTAAGGGCTTCATCCTACTACAGTGAGCTCTTCCTCAGTTACTGTGATTTTTTTATAAAAGAGATTGAGAGTTAATTTGACACTTTGAGTTGCAACCACTGCTCGTATATGTGTATTCAAATAATATAACAACTGCATGCTTAATACTTCACAACTATTTCCAGCCATTTTAGTTATAATGGCAGAAAAACTTTAGGCATAAACTTCACTATTGCCTTGATCTTACACTTCAACCCTTCATGAGTTATCACTTTTGAGTGTTTAACCTTGAGATTGAATTTGACCGTCAATATCAGTGATAAATATTTCAAAAACATTACAAAGAGCTATCCAGCACATAAATCAAATATGATTTTCTTTGGTGGAATTCAAAGTAACATTGACATAAATATGAAAATAATATAACCACTATATGTATAAGAGTTACTAAGACTTCTGCAGAAAAGGGCAATTTAGAGAAAAATGTAGTATAAATGGGTCACGCACGACCTTTTTCCAACTTTGACCTTTGCCCAAAGGAAGTGTTAGGCCACAAACAAACTTTTTGTCTGGCTGTGACTTTGACATAACACATCAATGTGTCATCAGACGTTCTCAGAGCTAAGGAAGCATGTGTTATTTATTCCTGAGATGCCCAAGCAATGCATGGTTTCATAAGATAAGTGTGACTATTAAACTGAGGCAAAAATATGAAACATCACCATTTACACAGCTGGCTAATAAAACATAAACATCAAACAAATTATCAATTTCTTTTATTCATATGTTTATATCACATATTGAACAGTGTGCACATGGTGGTTCCTGATGCAGTATGCACTTTACTCCTATTCTTCAATATGCATAACATAATATGCTATAACTGTTCCCTTGACAGTACCTACGGATCATGTTCACCAGTTCAGAGAACTTACTTTCCCTCAATCCTCCTTTTCCTTCTATATTGCCATGGAAGAACAGGAACCAGGTTGAGGGGAGGCCAGATGGGCTCTACCCCTTGTGTTAGTAGAACTGTGAACTTTCCATTTGGTGTTTGGGTCCACATTTAAAGACAATAAGTCCAATTTATCATTCCTTTCAAGTGTTTACCACATGGCCCAAGAAAAGAATTTCTTGCATGTCCTTGAAGGGTCCCACTCGAGCTTGGCATTGGTTGTCTTCTCACATTAGCGAGACCAGCCTTTGTGAGTCTGTCCCAGTACCATTTGGCATACAACTTCTGGGTTGGCCTCCATTGAAATAACAGGACCCTCATCATCGCTGTCTGCAAATGACCTCTGATATCTGGAGGGATTCACTCTCTGTTAAAGACTCCCTTGTCTCGTCCAGGGCCCAGGG